CCTCCTCAGACAGCATTAGGAAACAATCACATTTATTTTACGCTATAATAATGTTCCATTCACATCTGCTGAGGTTTGTAAAATGACAAAGTAAAAATATATCATGTGCATGGTGCGTTAAACGTCATCTCTCACAGCACATTTAACCAGATTGTTGCTGAAGCGGTGACTACAGAGGCAGGAACAGTCTGCAGCATGCACGCACCGTTACATATTCATGTGGAAAGCTCACGTCCACCTGAGGAGTCGGAAAAGTGACTCACTGTGCCGCTTTTGTTTACTCATTTCAACACTAATTGAGTCACTGAAGCGCTGCTAGTTCATGCAAATTCATACTGTGGCATTTCAGACCACCCACCTTCCCACCCCGTCCCGGGCAGAAATAACACATTTAGATCACACAACAACCCGTACCTGACTGATCTGCTGACGCGCCCCATTTCTAACCAGATCCAAGTGGACTTCAATAATTCATGAGAAAAGAAGTCACACAAGAAGGACTTCATTAAATAAATAGGAGTAAATAAGAACTGACTCAGATGCATGTTTTATTTTAAGATGTGTGTCATCTGTGGGTTTCAGGTGGTCCTGTGGAGATACAAGTTCTCACAGCTAAAAGGATCGTCTGATGATGGGAAAAGCAAGATCAAATTTTTATTCCAAAATCAAGAATCTAAATCAATCGAAGCAAAAGTAGGTTTGGGTTCAGTTTAAACTTTCACAAAATAATAATGATAATAATAATAATAATAATAGTAATAAAAGTTTAAAATAAAATAAAACTTGTCTAATTATTGATTTCTGATCTTGAACCTTTTTAGGAGTTGGAGTTCTCGAACCTGTTCGCCGTGCTCCACTGTATCCACGCTTTTTTTGCTGCCAAAGTTGCTTGTCTGGACCCGGTGTTTGTGGAGAGCCAAGGCACCGCAACAAACTCTAGGATTCCTTCTCTCTCCAACGTCTCCTGCAACTCACAGACTCCAAAACTCAAATACAACACTTGACGGGTGCTGCTTTCTCCGGACCTCTTTTAAAAGGTAAAGGAAGGCCATACAGTTATTTATCCTCACATACCACGTTGGACAGGTGGAGATGGATCAGGACCAGACTATTACTGTATGATGGACACACACATGTGGAATAACAGACCTCTCAGCAGATTCCAGGAATACCTTTTGGACCTGATATTGAACTTTTACTTTGAAAAACTTCACACAGAGACTTGGACACAAATTGTGATGGTTCTTTTTTTCTCTTGGGCCTCAGACATCCCACGTGATCAAGATTTTAAACAGAGAAATGCAGGTATTTTCCCATAGTAGTTTGTGTTTTTATGTAATTCTGTAAATCTGGAGCTAGTTGCATAAAACTATGGATTTATAACCAAAACAGAATGTGCACTATGTTGTTTGATGGGTCTTCTTTTATGAATCTAAACGCAGGCTCGTTTGAAATGGTTGTGGAGTATATTATTGAAAAAATGTAATAAAAACACACCAGTCGAGTAAAATAGTTTAATTTCATGCTAAATTTTGTTGCCTTTTTCTGGTTTTTCCTTTCATATTTGCACATTATTCCAGTATAAATCCAAGCTTGTGTGACAGAAAAAGGTATTAACATGCTTTTTTGTGTGCAGAAGCTGTTTATGCATCTGGCTCCTGAAGTCAAAGCAGAACAGATCGTTATCTTGAATTTGCCATCACTTAAACCATGCAGAGTCAAGATTCTGGGTGTGATTATGTGATATCGTTGCACCGCCTTTGCTTACTTTTTCCCTGTAATTGAGGTAAAGAACATATTAAAATAATTTAATTTAGTCTGGATTGAATTGCAGAAGTGTCTGCTTGCAGCATCGGTGAGTCAAACAGTTTTTTTTTAGCATTTTACCGGGTAACATGGGATCACTGAATGTGCAGATTGTATAAAAGTGTACCTTTCTTTAAAATATCTGGTTTATTGATAAATCCGACAAATAACACTGAAACGTGATCATAAACAACATTCATGATGTACATAAACTCTAAAATTCAAATGAACTAAAATAATAACAAATTACTTGTTGGGATTAAGGCTCTTGTTAATCTGATGTGCACTTTAGGTAGATTCCCTCATCTTCTTTAATTCCATGAAGCAGTCCAGAAGAATAAAATCAGCCATGGTGTGCTTTTTCCAGACTGTTTTATCTCCGCTTGACTTCACCTTGTAAATATAACTTAAGAGATTATAAAGAGGAAAACAGAAATATCTAGCATCCTGGCCTCCAAAGGTTTTAAGTTACCCCCTTTAAACTCCACTCGGCTTTAAAACTGCTTATAAATGCTGCAGAGGCAGCTAAAATATCATATTTACAAAGAGTTCAGGTCAATTAGTGTGATTAGTCATGCTCTTACCTCCCATTAACAAACAGAAAAGCCCCCCCGGGTAAGTAAACTCCAGAGGATAGCAAATTAAACGGCTCGGTAAAGTGTATTTGTACTGTGCAGCGAGTGTCTGATGGAAACTGATGGTGGTGCTGTCTATGCAAAGAAAGTCTGTGTGATGCTTTAAAACAACGATCAAATGACTGCATATAACACAAGGTCTAGAAGATGAGGTGTATTTTATTTTTCACAGATGTTTTATTAACAAATATGCAGTGTAATAAATCAATAAAGAAGACCTTTTATATCACGGCTCAGTCATGGCTGGCTTTACTTTGCAGTGCTTTGCACAAAAGAAAACATTGCAAATTAATTAAACACACTTGCATGCCTTCATTATGACAGATCTACACTATGAATAGACTGGCGGGGGTTTTCTCATCTGAAAAATATTCCTGGAGATGCCGTCGAGGTCCTCTGTGTCTCGGCGTGGCATCTAATGAAAGATGCTATTTACCGCTGACCAGGATATCTCTGCGTCTGCTTCCTCTTTCTTTATCTGCCTTTCGTCAGTCCCAAGTGCAATACCTAAAGCTCTTTATAAACAGCAAACACCCAAGTCTGAGACAGCAGCTTTTCACATTTGAGCAAATAAGAAAAATAAACAAATAAAAATCTTGACAACTGTTATATCTCATTTACTTCACTCTGGCAGGTTTATTGCCCAGCACTTTAGTTGAGTTTGGGGTTTTATATTTGGATTTTGGGTTCACAAAAACAGCCATGCATGAAGCAATAAAGAAATCTATATATATATATCTTTACTTCTGCATTCTCTCTGGCCAAACTGGGATCAGTCTGCATTAACTGGATGTGTGCGTAAGTGCAGACCAAAACAGGGTTCATGCAGGAACCCTAGAGTTGAATCTACTATACTTTACTACCATTTTTTCTACCTCTAAAATATGTTTTACCACCAACTCGCCATCAAGCATGTATGGCCTGTATTTGTGTAGCACCTTCTTATTCACCCATTTTCACACACATTCACACACTGGTGGTGATGAGCTACGATGTAGCCACAGCTGCACTGGGGCACACTGACAGAGGCGAGGCCTGCCGAACACTGGCGCCACCGGTCCCTCCGACCACCACAAGCAGGCAATGTGGTTCAGGAGTCTTGCCCAAGGACACAATAGCAGCATTCACTGGTCATCAAACCTGCAGCCTTCCAAATATACAACCCGCTCTAACTCCTGAGCTACTGCTGTCCTGACATTCAAATGAACTAAAATATGTACATCCAGCCTGTTGTAACCAGAACTGCAGCAGACACACGTTTACAGTCTGGTTTAAATCTGCTGAAGGAAAATCTGCCGTAAATAGTTTATATAGTCAGTGGAATTCTGGGCTATTCTAACACGTATGCATGATCTCCTGGAAGGACTAGTTTCTATGGATTTGTCATGAACAATTAATTTAGATGTGTCTCTTCCTTTTATAGCTATCTCATAATTTATTTTTGCTCATTTTTATTTTGTTCTCTAAACCACTGGAACTTGCTGATAACATATTTTTATTTATCTAATGAAATAAATGAATTAAATCAGTGGTTATCTGTACTTGAGGACTTTTTTAATCAAATATTTTTCACATTTACTGATTAATATTATTTACTTCTACTTGAGTAGAAATATATAAAAGTAATGCTCTTACTAGAGAACAATCTTTGTCTGGTGCATACATCCCATAATGAATGCGTTTACATCAGTCATCTGACCAATAGCCAACCAAACATGATCCAAAAGGCTCTGATAACAGAAAAGGTTCAGGAATGATACATAAAATGCATTATTACTATTATATATTTTATATTTGGATTCAGCTTGAACAGACAGCAAAATCATTCATACTATTTCACATTTCCTCTTAAATTACCTCAGATTAACTTACCTAAAAGGATTTTAAACCAGTTAACTTGTTATTTTAGCTCTTTTCATATTTTTATAAGTTATAACTTTAGTTAAATGGATCTCATGTTACTCTGACTTCCTGACGTTTCTTGTTTTTGTGTGTCCTTTAGTTTTTGTGTAAGAATTTCCATAAAATAATGTATTCAAAAGGAAATACGGATGTTTCTGTTTTTGTTAATAGTTTACAATATGGTTAAGTTTTCCCGCGGGTGAAGCACAGCGTTGCTAAGCAACCAACTTTCCAGCTCGCGCACTTACTCTCCGTTCAAACTCAGTGTAAAACAACCGCTAAAATGGCTTTCAGAAGAAGTTCTCAGTGAAATGAGCATCAGAAATGATGTTGGTTCGGGCGGAGAAGGGGAAGCTGAGGAAAACTCGTCAGGAGAAGCGGCAGAGACTGACAGAAACACAGAAGACGACCACCCACCTGCACCCGCGGAGGACCTGGTAGTCACCCCCAGGGAACAACAGGAGACTTCGTTACAAGGTTTGGATTAAAATTATATATACACTGCTCACAAGAATTAAAGAAACACTTTTTTTTATTGGGCCTGGCATGAAATCAGTTAAACCTGTCTGATAATTTCCTGGTTGATTAGCTGAGGGCATTGTTAATCACTTTCAGCTTTATTGGTGTTCATGGACTTAAAGACAGGTGCACTAAAGTGGCAACAATTACAAAACCCTCAAAACAGGACTGGTTTAACATGTAGAGGTCATTTCAAGTTTCTCCCTCTTGCTCTTTTTCGGCTGGTTTTCCACTCGTGCTAGTTTTGGCTCTCTACTGGCAGTATGAAGCAATTACTTAACCCTACAGAAGTGCACAGGTTGTCCAACTTCTCCAGGATGGCACATCCACACGTGCTGCAGCAAGAAGGTTTAATGTGTCTCCCAGCACAATCTCCAGATCATGGAGGAGATTTCAGGAGACTGGCGGTTATTCTCGGAGAGCTGGACAGGGCCGTAGAAGGTCCACAACCCATCAGCAGGACTGATACTTGCTCTTTTGTGCAAGGTGGAACAGGCTGAGCACTGCTCGTGCCCTACAGAATGACCTCCAGAGGGCCACTGGTGTGAATGTCTCTACCCAAACAATCAGGAACAGACTTCATGAAGATGGCCTGAGGGCCCGACGTCCTGTAGTGGGCCCTGTGCTCACTGCCCAGCACCGTAGAGCTTGACTGGCATTTGCTCAAGAACACCAGAATTGGCAAGTCCGCCACTGGCGCCCTGTACTTTTTTCAGACGAGAGCAGGTTCATCCTGAGCACCTGTGATAGACGTGAAAGTCTGGAGAAGACAAGGAGAACGTTATGCTGCCTGCAACATCATTCAACATGACAGGTTTGGTGGTGGATCAGTGATGGTCTGGGGAGGCATATCCATGGAGGGACGCACAGACCTCTACTGCATAGGAAATGGTGCTCTGACTGCCATAAGGTATCGAGATAAAATCCTTGAACCCTTTGTCAGACCCTACGCTGATGCAGTAGGTCCTGGTTTTCTCCTAATGCACGACAATGCCTGACCTCATGTGGCAAGAGTATGCAGGCAGTACCTGCAGGATGAAGGAATTGAAACAATTGAATGGCCTTCACGATCCCCTGACTTAAACCCAATAGAACATCTGTGGGACATTATGTTTCGGTCCATTAGGCAGTGCCAGGTTGCTCCTCAGACTGTACAAGAGCTCAGGGATGCCCTCACACAGATCTGGGAGGAAATGCCACAAGACACCATCCGTTGTCTCATTAGGAGCACACCCCGACGTTGTCAAGCATGCACACAAGCTCATGGGGGCCACACAAGATACTGAAAAGCAATTAGAGTTGCAGAAATTAAGTTTTTGAAATAATGGACTAGCCTGCCACAACTTCATTTCACTCCGATTTTAGGGTGTCTACACAATTGAGCCCTCTGTAGGCTGATAACTTTTATTTCCATTAAAAGACTTGACATCCTTTTGTTCCTAAGACATTGCCCTGTCGTTATTTGTATAGATATCCAACTTCATATTGAGATCTGATGTATCTAATGTGTTTCTTTAAAGTGTTCCTTTCATTTTTGTGAGCAGTGTATATATATATATATATATATATATATATATATATATATATATATATATATATATATATATTACCATATTATTAGGTTCACACATCTGTAAAGAGTTAATTAATAGCACACTTGATAGGTTTTGCTCCACCATGTCATCTTCAGTCTGCATTTAATGGCCAAAATCAGAGCCGTCAAAATGACTGCTAGGAGTTCCAGCATTAGAATTCTGGGAGGTCTTCAATTTTTCTGAGTTTTCATTGAATTACTGAACTGCATTTCCACCACTGAATGGCACGAATCAGTAATATTTATAAATCTATTTGTTAATTTTTAATACATTTTCCACTAACATCAACAATATAATCTTTTTGCAAACTTGTCTTGAACAAAATGGTGTTCTTTCAAAAAGGACAAATTTCTTATAGTAGGTGTTTAGGGGAGAGAAAAACAAACATCATTGGCTGTATTCTCTGATGAAAGTCAGATCTAATCTTAAGAGTTCTGACATTTTTTCCATCCATCCATCAATCATTATTTTAATGTGCTTTGAAATAGTTTAGCGTGTATTTATGTGAGACAACACAACCCCAGCACCTTGTCTGTGTTGTAACCTTTGGGTTTGTCATGTTGCGGTGTGGGTGGCGGCAGACCATGTGTGGTGGAGCTGACCAGGAGGCAGGAATGCAGGCTCGGATAACATAAAAATGGTTTTAATGGTAGAGGATACAGCAGGAACAACAACACACAACAATGATCCGACAAGGGACACATGCAAGACGGGAGGTATAAATACACAGGGGACAATCAGCAACACACGGGCAGGTTAACAAGGGGCAGGTGAGACCAATAAAACACTAATCAGGGGCAGGAGAGAGTAAGAGTCAAAGGGGGTAGGAGCAGATCCTGACAGTAACCCCCCCAAGGGGCGGATACCAGATGCCCACAAGACCCACATAACTCAGAAGACAAGGGGACCAGGGATCCGGAGCATGGAGGCACAGGGGGTTTCGGAACGAGGACACAGGAACACTGGAGACTTGTGACGTAGACTCGGGACCTCGAGGAACACTGAAGACTCTGGACCTCGGGGGAACTCTGCAGACACAGGGACTCTGGAGACTCGGGACGCAGACTCGGGACCTCGAGGAAACACTGAAGACACAGGGACTCTGGAGACTCGGAACGCTGACTCAGGACCTCGGGGAAACACTGAAGACACAGGGACTCTGGAGACTCAGGACGCAGACTCGAGAACTCTGGGAAACACTGGAGACTCTGGA